TATTTAACTGAACTTAAGTTTTTAATTTTTAAAATTTTATTAATGTTAATGTTTGCAGGTATCTTTTAACAAGTGAAAGTGAAATATTTACTCATATGTATAATATACCTGTTGAATTACAAGGGTTCGAAAGGCAATATTTACAAAAAGAGAAAGTTATAATGATAAACAGTTTTCTTTTCAACTATATTATGCATATTTTTTTCAAAGATATAATCATAAGTATATAAAAAAAAATAGAAGAATACGATCTATTCCAACTAAATGGCAACAAATATGGTGCTACTGACAAAGGAATTACAATTTCTTTTGATAATAAAAAAATATATTTAAACTATCCTTTAGGTCTATGTGAGGCCTATGTAGCCTGAAGATATAGCAAATTTGCTCACACCAATCTTAATTTTTTGGACTATGTAATTGCAGCTACTTGCCTAAGAGGAATATGATCTGGTAACAATAAAGAATTTGCTTGCAGTGAAGGGAATTTTGATGGAGACAACTTTTTTACATGATTAAATGGAGAATTAAAGTTGAAATGACAAGTATTTTTTAAACATTACAAATTATTAAAAATTTAGTTATTAACGATTAAAATTGTCACAATTTTTCTAGGAAATACTTTTTATTGCTGGCCAGAAAATGAGTTGCATGGTATTACAGTATTACCGATGGAAGGTATAACTTGTGGGCTGTCTTAAAATTTGGTTAAAAAAACAGTATCAACTATAAAAAAATGGAGGAAAGATAAAAAGAAATATATTGTATGGATTACTGATATAATCAATTATTGACTAATCAACATTCTTTATAAGTACTTGAAATATTGATAATAAAAATAAAAAAAAAAATAATATAGAAAATCAAGTTATTTTAAAAAGTACTGGTTATAGAGGGAAGTGCATTAATATAGAAGCAAGTGAATAACTATGGGTGGTATAAATAAATTTATATAAATTTAATAAAAAAAAATTTTTTTAATTTAACGTTAAAAAATATTTTCAAAAGAATAATATACTAGTTAAATTTTTTTTATTAAAATAAAGCCAGGTTAATTTAAGTATATTTAATTTAATTTAGTTAAATCAAAGTAGTTATAGTTGAATATTCCTTGAAACAGATTCAAATGTATCAAACCAGTTTCAAATTGTTTTTGCATCGAAATTGAATTAGATTTATTTCAGATTCAAATCGAATCAAATTTAGATTCAAATCAGATTGGATCAAACTATTATGGTTTTAAATCAGATCGAATTAGTTTAAAACAAATTGAATTCATATTAAATTCATATTTATAAAAATCAGATCAGATCGAATCTAGTTAAAATCCAATCTGATTCGATTTGTTGTAATCACTAATAGAAATATATAGTTTGTATAAGATAATTGATATCATATTACGGATTTAGTTATTCATTAATTGTTAAGTTAATTCTTAATAAAGCTTATATCTAATACTAGTTGCAATTAAAAAAAAAAAAAAATTATAAATATGAATATAATAAATAAATAGTTACAAAATTTTTAATAAATAGTTAATAAATTTTAATAAATAGGTTTGATAAATAGTTGTTGAATTTTTAATAAACAATTGATAAATTTTTAATAAATAGTTTAAATAAATAGTTGTTAAATTATTATTAAACTATTACTAAATTTTTGATAAATTTTTAATGAATTATTAATAAATTAATATTGAATTTTTATTGAATTGCTAATAAATAATTTTGTAATAACTTTTAATGAATTTTTATTAAATAGTTAATAAATTATTTAATGAATTGTTAATAAATTTTTGATTATCAGATTTTTTGATTGTTGAATTTTTTATTGTCAAATTTTTGATTGTCACTTTATTGTAAAAATAGTAATATACCAAGTGACAACAATCATAAAAATTTTAGCTATATTTTTATTATTAAATTTAATTAAATTTAGTAATTATTTAACTATTAAATAGCATAATTTTGACTAGTATTAAGAAACTTTGTTAGTAAAAAAGTATAAAAACTTCTTGAAAATATTTTTTTTTTGTATATGATAAAGAATAAATAAAAAAAGATTTACAAATATCAAATTCTTAAATTTTTAATTATACAATTAAAAATTATAAAATTTATATATAATATAGTGCAAAAAATTTTGAAATATTATTTTAGAATATAAATATATATAACTTTTTCAAAAAAAAAAACAATTTATGTTAAATTTTAAATATTTAAATATTATAGTTCAAATAATATATATAGGTATTTAAAATTATTTGATTATTTTATTTTTTTACAAATTTATTCTTATAATATTATTTTTTTAAAAAAATATCTAATAACAAATTATATTACATTTGTCATATAATGAAATTACTTCTGTATATAAAATATATTTCAAAACTGACATAAATATATCAACTATCTATTATAATCTCAAAAAATTGAATTCAAAAGACAATAATTCAAAAAAATCTGATAGTAATTATTCTAAAAAGATTATAGCATATGAATCAAGAATAATTAATCGATATTTACATCATATTCTCAAGACCTTTGGCAATTAAATTATTAAATATTAATATAAAAGTATCATATTTAACAATTTTAAAACATTTGAACAATTTGAATTACAAAAATAATTTATATTTAAAAATATCTATACTTACTATTATTTATAAAGAAGCTTATATTATTAGAGTAAAAAAAATATTTTAATGATAATTAAAAAAAAATATTATTTTCTAATAAAACAATATTTCAACTATTCAGAAATACAATTATTTAATGATATAAAAGTGTAAAATCAATTAGAAAAATACCTAAAGATTATACTAAAATCTTTACGTGGGAAGAATTTTATATAAAAGAAAAATTTTTTTTTGTTTTAAAGAAATTATTATTGCATAATTTTATATTAATATTTTGTAAAATTATAAATAAGAAATTAATAGATTACTTGAAAACAATTAATTCTTTCAACAAAATAATGATCTCAAATATATAAATAAAATTTTTAAAATATTTTTAAATGAAAATTTTTTATTAATTGTTCTTTTAATAGTTTTGATTTAAATATTATTAAAAATCTTTGAATTATCATTAAAAGAAATATAAAAATGAAATTATCAAAAAATATTTTAAAATTAGAACAATTTATGATAGAAAAATGGGATAAAATTCCAAATAGAATTTTAAATAATTTTATAGATTCAATAAAAAAAAGATGTGAATTAATAATTGAAAATAATGGTAAAAAATTTAATTATCAATTATACATCAATAAAATCTCTAGATTTTTAGTTTTATTTTGATATATTTTTTATTAATTTTTATGCAATAGTTTTTGAGTAATAAATAAATAAATTTTTTGTACTATATTATATATTGTATCTTAATTTATTTTTTATATATATTTAAAAAAATTTTTTAAAATTATATTATTGTTAAATATTTTTAATTTTTTTATTAATTATTATATAATTTATGATAATAACCAATTAAAAAATAAAAATTTAATAAAAAAAAATTTTTTTTAACAATAATAAGACTTAAAAATTATATATAAAAATTTAGGTTAGAATTTGTAGTAAATAAATTAAAACTTTATAAGCAACAGTATCAAAATTAATTACTATTACTTATACTATCATGAAATGACATGTCTACTTTAAATAATGTTACACTAACTATCGTACGATAGATAATCTTTTTAAATTTAAATTACAATATATACGTACAGTATAATTTATCTAGTGTTTTTATTCCAAGCTTTGCATACGATCTTTTCTATAAAGTCAAATATACACTTCTTTTTTATAATTTCCATGTAACATTGAGGTTGAAATGACCTAGAGGAAGTGTAGAGCAGCTTTTTTTTGCAATACCTTTACTAAATTTATGTGTAATCAATCACCTTGTCCTCTTTATCTAGATGACTTAATTATTACTATTTTAAATTGAAAAATGATCGCATCTTACGTCATTTGACTTTTTCTAACATCATGATGTCATAATTTATTAAACCGATAAACACATAAACACATAAACACTTACGTACTGATCTAATATTTTATTATAAATACACATACATCCATAGCAATTTAATTTTTCTTATACTTTGTTCTATCTTTTCTATCCTTCACACGTCCTTTATTCTATCCTTCACACTGTCCTTTATTCTATCCTATCCTTCACACTGTCCTCCGTTCTAAATGTATTTAGCTTGAAGAATTTTTTTTCTGACGGTTAATGAGAGTTTTTCTGTGCTAGTTCTGGAGGAGGGATTAGCTTAAAACTTACTTAATCGTCTCGCTTAGTCCTCTGTTTCATTGTTTATACTGTCCTCCATTCTAAATGTATTTAGCTTGAAAAAAAAATTTTTTTTCTGACGGTTAACGAGAGTTTTTCTATGCTAGTTCTGGAGGAGGGATTGGCTTAAGACTTACTTAATCGTCACTAGCACCCACTCATTAATTAAAAAAAAACAATCCCTTTAAAAATTTCCTATATTTATTATCTACCCACCTTCTCGTTTAGTCCTCTGTTCCATCCTTCACACTGTCCTCTATTCTAATGTATTTAGCTGAAAAAACTTTTTTCTGACGGTTAATGAGTTTTTCTATGCTAGTTCTGGCTTGAGACTTACTTAATTAAAAAAACGATCTTTCATGTTGGTTCTGGAGGAGGAATTGGCTTAAGCATAACCGTCTTTTTTTTTACTTTTTTTTTTTTAAAAAAAATAAAAATAAAGTTAAAAATGTTGTTGAATTTGTCAAAAAGTCTGACATTACATTTGTCGCTAATATATGCAGCTAATATACTGCTAAACTTTTTCTATACACGCGCTATATTCATGCAGTCGCTGATGATTGTCTAACTTGTGGCATGCACCTTACCTAATGTTCGTACTTTGCGATTCATGACTATCGCTTCGAATCTCTGAGAGCAAGAGGTCATGATGAGTTCTACGTTGATTACGCATATAGTTTTATATGCGTGACCGCTCCTGCGTTAATCTGGTGGCTCGTGTTGCTCGGGCGTCCTAGTTCTTCAATGCAATGCACTACCCCAGCGTACTTCGAACTTTCGGTCGTTTCCATGAGAATTTCGAGCGCATTTACTGATGACCTTCCCGGTGGCTCTTTCTTAAACACTTCTTGTTCGTTCCGTCCTTTTGGTTTTTCGAGGCATACAGCAGTGGCTTCCCGGAGTCGATTAAGTAACTCAAACTTTCTAATTCTTCCATATCGTGGGCGACTCCTGGAATGCTAGCGCTAATTCGTTAGATTCGACTTGCCGTGCGACCTTAATGGCCTTAAGGAGGGTACTAGCTTTCATGACTACGGGTGAAGGCCATACCATTTTTGAGCCCGGACGTGAACAGATTAACCACATATTTCTGGGATCACTGGCGCTCGAGATTGGTCTTTTTTAGTAGTCTCCAGAACTTGCAGGGTAGCTCATTACTGATTCATTGTCTCCTTGCCATATATTAAATAATTTATTTTGCCAGTGTTATTGCTTTTCAAGCTTTTCGAAATGCCGGAAGAAGATCGGCACAAATCTTCTTTTGGGATCGTATTCATAATTCCAGAGGTTAACTGGTAGTGATTATCTGCGTACCAGTCTAGTGTGCTATTATCCAGATAATCAGCTACCCTCCTGCAGGTCGTCCAACCCTTAGACTCGGCCGCCAATTAGTAACGCTCAAGTCATGCATACGGATCTTCGATGGCCTTTCCACGAAAGCTTTGTAGTCGGGTCCGGCGGGCTTTTTGCTTTTCCTTCTTATGCGCCCAAATATGCTGGGCTTCATGATCTTGGGCATCCGGAATGGCTCCCGAAGAGATTTCGTGTAGGACGATTGCAAGCCTACGGAGATCCTCTATGTCGAGCGGCAAGGTAAATACATTCTCAATGCTATCTTATCTATTATACATATGCCTTATTCACACAGCCTTTCATGCAAAAATGTCGCATTTTCCTCCCTCACAATATAGTATAAGATTAAAATATATAATTTTATCGAAATTAAAAGTCAAGTAATTAAAATAGGCATATACAGAGAACCCTCCCTAAATGCACACCCTCTCTAAATGCGCTCTTTACTGTGGTTCACATGACTATTGGTCGGAATTAAAACAAAGTCGACCAGAATTAAGACGGCTGACTGCAATTAATCAAGTGGACAAAGCGAAATTAATTTTTTGGATAAAATTAATTTAAATGGTTAATTTATTAATCAAAGTAAATATATAAGTATATTTATATTTGAGCAGCATAATATACTGTACACTACAGTTAAACTTTTTAATCAAATTTAAGGAATTTATTATATACAATAATAGTTTTAAGTTTAATCTTGGAAATAATATTTTATTCTATAATAGATTTTAAATAAAGATTCTTTTAGTTTACATATCAGTGTTAACAAGTTGCTACTGTTATATATCTTATCAAGTCACTGAAATACAGAAAACTATAAAGAAGGTGAATTGAAATAAAAGAAAAGAAAATATCTAAAATTATGCAAATATAAAAAAAAAATAAAAGATAATAAAAAAAAACAAAATTTTCTTTAGTTATCTTTAAAAATCCATTTCTTAAGATTGATTTTCAATAAGAAATACTCTATTAAAATATCTTTTTTTTTTTATTATCTAAGAAACTTATTCATTTTTTATTTAAATTTTCTTCTTATATATTATATATCATTTATTATAAATCTTTATTTTTAAAAAATATCTAATTTTAATTTATTTTTGATAGTAATATTATATAGTATTATCTATAATAAATTATTATTTTATAATAAATATTAAGTTTTTATATTCAAAACAAAAACAAATTCTTTCCACTGATCCTCTGGCCACACACAAAAAAGACGTTCACAAGAAGTTTTCATACTTCTATGTTAATAAAGTCTTAATACTTTTTTTAAACCAACTTGAAAAAACTTCAAG